TCTCTCTCTCTCTCTCTCTCTCTCTCTCTCTCTCTCTCTCTCTCTCCCAAAATGTAGGAGAGGTTTATTTGGCTCATGGCTTCACACAGTTGAATCCACTGGCTCCAAGGCAGCAATGGCCTTGCGGAAGAGCAAAGCAGAAGAGAGCCGCTCAACCCACTGAAGCCAAAACTCAGAAAGAGAAAAGGTAGCTTTGGGGCACGAGAATGCAGCCTTCCAGGTTCTGCCTCCCGGAGTTCTCCTCCTCCAGTTCGGCCCCACCTCCTAACCCCATATTGACTGTGAGCTTCCCAGTAGCAGTTCATCTACACACTCTCCTTCCAAAGCCCCACTTCTGAGTACATTAAACATTTTAGATTTAAACCATAGCCATTTATTTTGTTGGGGGGAGATTTGTTTTGATTTTGCTTTTCATTTTATTTTGTTTTTTGATACAGGGTCTCGCTGTGTAGCCTAGGCTGGCCTTGAACTCTCAATCCCCTGCCACAGCCCTCCAAGTGCTACAGCCGCAGGTGTATCCTACCACTCCCAGCTCCGGCAGGAACGCTCTTTTGAAAGAGCATTTGTGCTGTGCAGTATTCTCTGCTAGATACACAGTGGGGCACAGAGGTAATGTGCAAGACATGCCCTCTGACCTTGCAGAAGGGCTTGGGGAGTATTTGTATGGCTAAACCCTACCAAGTTACAAAAAAAAAAAAAAAAAAAAAAAAAATTCTGAGACTTCGTTACATAGAACACACTACAAAAAAAGATCAGAAATAAATAAATAAAAAATGAAAAGCAGCTAACAAGAGCAGGAAAATACCTCATAATAAGCACCTGGGATGAGTCAGCCATACCATTGGTCCCCATATTGACTGTGAGCTTCCCAGTAGCCATGTCAAAAAGGGAATGTGTTAGGGTACAATTTTGTAAAGATAGGAAAAATACCCAAAGACTGCAATGCAAGGATTTTTTTTCTTTTTCAGAACCAGGGATTGAACTCAGGCTCTTGCGCTTGCCAGGCAAGCACTTATTCTATTGAGCCATCTCCCCGGCCTCTGGCAATTTGTGAAAAATCAAAAGAAGAGAAAATCATGTTTCCCTGTCTGCCAGAGAATTGATCCACTTTTCATCTATGATGCTGCTACAGTCAGAAGCTCATAGAAGAATGTAGGCTGGGCCAG